ACCATGACTCCGGCAGCCGTATCACGATCTCCACGCATTGCACGAGCTTTGGGTATACCACACCGCCTCCTTGGAGCTTCGTGAAGATGTCGCGCATCTCATCCAACACCGGTTGCATCGGCTCTCCATCAATGAACTTGATGTCGCGCAGCCGCCGCGCGAGTAGCACGATGCCGGTAGCATGTGTCGGTGAGTGCACATCCAGAAGCTTCCTCCAAGCCTTGGGGCCACACTCTGGATCACCCAAGAGGTCCTTGATGTGGTCAAGTTGCCGTCCGCCCACCGCTTGCACCATGAGCATGTACGCGTCGAACGATCGCTTCATCCACGCTCCTTTCAGCTCCACAACCTCCATCATCTTCTCCTTTCCCTCCACCAAATCCAATAGCTTGTATTGGGTATACATCAGCCTCATGTGGAAACTCCAGTGCTCGTAGTCCTCCCCCATGAATTTCTCAATAGAGAAAGCTTTCACAGGATCCACGGTAATAGAAGATGGTAGAGAAGAAGTAGGTAGCGTAGGGTTGGCTGGTTGGTGAGTCCCCACTCCTCCACCAGCAACTCCCCCCTGCTCTCCAGCCTCTCTACTCCTATCCATCTCGCCACTAGCACCTCCGGAGTTCGTACCAACCATATTGAGGCCTTATGAACGGTGGAAACTTGAGAAATCGTTTGGAGAGAATTCTGCCAGAAATTTCGATTCTACGAAAATCGCCGTCACGGACTAAATACTTCGAATTAGAACGCGATTCGACCACCAATCGAACTTTCGCAAGCCGAGCTACTAGAAAATGGTCTCACTCGACAACATTAGTTGAGAATTCACGACGATTTGTCGTCTCAAAGTCGACTACCCACTCTGATACCACGTGTTGTTCAGGATCTGTCACTTTGAGAACTTACGACGAACTCATTACTCAACTAAACGCAAATCCGCTCTGTAGGATTGTGCGCCTTAGGCTTAGCTACCATCTCCAAGTTGAATCAGTTGTTAAGATGGTCTAGAGAGTGAGAACCATGTGAAAACGTCCAGCAGCCGCATCACTAGAATGGTGGAGGAAGTACAAGCATTAAGGCATAGAAAGTTGGAGTTGGGAACCTCCAAGAGAACCACGAGAGGGAAGGGGTTCTCCAAGAGCTAGGGAAGGATGGTAAGAACCTTCCTAGCAGCAAGGATGCAACCCTCATCATGAAGTCCTTGAGGTGTCACATGCAAAATCCAATCTAGTTGGATTTTGCCTAGGTGTTGCAACATTTGCAACCCATGCTAGAAACTTCTAGCCACCCCAATCCAAAAGTCAAAGTTGGCTTCCTAACCACCCAACCAAAGATCCCTTTATAGTCATGTCCAAAGTAATCATCCAAATTAGATATAACCCCAAAAAGGTAATAAGAAATCCAAATCTTGGAAATCTTGTAACTTGGGCGATCTTGGTTGGAATAAGGCGATCTTGGTGTCGTTGGAAAGCTCTGGATTTCTCCTGCATGATCAAGCATTTAGACTTGGAGAAAAACACAGAGATGATAATATCCCACAGCCATGCACAATGACATACGCTCATGCAAACAATGCACGCATGAAAAGCACGAGCACTTGGCAGGACGTTAGGATGACATGCACTCAGAATGACGTGCATCCAACAGAACCTCTCTTGATTTCTCTCCAGTTACGTTCTCGGACCCAAGGATAGGGCGTTTGGTAATTTATTACCACTCGTCTGAGGACCCTTGTGAAGTGACCCCGAGACGATGGATGTAAGGAAGGGGCACTTTATTTTAATTTGTGGTACCTTATAGAGACGTCGTAGAGGATGAGTACAGAGGAGGCAAATGTGGAGGCCGGTACTTTGCGCGCCCTAGAGGAGGATCTCGTGGCTCGTCATTCTCGTGGTGAGATTAGTGATATCGAATATGAGCTAATGTTGGAGGGATTGCGCTCGCGTCGGCGTCGTGAGCACCCTTCGCCACGTGTAGAGAATGTTGAGCAAGCTGCGGGAGGTACTAGTGCGTGGGATATGGCTGTCGATGGCGGAAATAGCGATGACGAGGAGCTTGATGGGTTGATGTCACGTGGGGTCCTGCGAGGACCAACTCGGTTTAGTACGGCTAGCGTCGGCGGTGTACAGGAGCGTGTTCATCGTGCAGCAGCGTCACGAGAGCATGCGAATGTAGGACGGCAGAGCGTTGCTGGAGGAGGAAATGCGGAAGAGTTCGATAGTGAGGCTATGCCGGGCGTTACCCCGATTGGATCGATGTCGAGGGACGAGGGAATAGCCCCCAACTATGGCTACTTTAGATTCACTCCAGACAAGATCGTTATCCCTAGGCCGTTAGAAGGACGTCACGACCTGTCGACGTGGACAGAATCAATCGAGCCCCAGCTTGAGATCGCTCAGCTAAAACAATTCATAGACGGCACCACCCCCATTCCACATGCGCGTGCACTTGCGCATCTCTCCCAGTTCCGCGCAATGCAGTTGCTGACGTTCACCACCATTTCCCGATGCTGCTCCCCAACCGTACAGATCGCCCTTAAGGCGTGTCGCATGAAGGTAGATGCCGGCTATCAGGCATGGCAGTTTATTATGCGCACGTACAAGGCGAAGGATGATGTGTACATCGGTCAGTTAGAGCAGGCGTTCACTAACCTCGAGATGGGAGAGCACGAGTCCGCTACGTCCTATTGCAACCGTGCGCAGCAGATCCTAGTGAACCTAAGGATGGCCGGCGTAGATTACTCGCAGGCGTCGTACATCACTCACGTTGTGAAGGGGTTGCAGCAGCAGTACAACCTCTTACGCAGGATGCTGAAGTTGCCGCAGGTGCGCAAGGAGTTGGACGAGGACACCCTCGCTAGCTACATCATCGAGGAGGAGTGTACGCTGGCGGCGGAGGGACGAAAGGACCAATTCCTTCCCCAGGCTAACCAGGTCTTTACAAAGAAGGGTAAGCCCCGATTCCAGCAGACTTCATTCCCTTCCCCTCCCACTACGGCACAGCAGCAGCAGCCTAAGAATGGGGGTGGGGTTGGTGGGGGAGGGGAGAAGTGGAAAGGGGGTCAGGATGGCCAGCCGAAGAGGGGGAAAGGGGGCTTCAAGGGGAAGTGCTATGTGTGTGGACAGACAGGGCATGTTGCTAAGTACTGTCAGCAGCGGGCGGATAAGGAGGCAGACACTGGTGGAGAGGGTTCTGGAGGGAGCAGCGGAAAGGGGGGTAATGGCTCTAAGGGGAGCGGGCAGTCATCATGTGCGATGGTGAAGCCCGTTGTGGAGCAGACTCCTCTCGTTGTGCTAGAGCCTGAGGCCGGGGAGGGCTTACAGGCTGTTGCAGCTGCTGTGAAGACGAACCCGAGCGTCGTGCTGCTTGATAGCGGATGCTCCCACCATCTCATGGGAGATCGTTCTGGCTTTGTGGAGATGAGCAGCGGCGGCAGTATTAAACAGGTTACTGCCTTCAATGGCGCGCTTCAGGAGGTGCAGGGGCGAGGCACAGTCGCTCTTCTTGGGGAGGGGGGCAGGCGTGTCTTGGTGCCGGACGTGCTGTACGTACCAAGAGTGCAGGCGAGTCTTCTCTCTGCTGGGCAGCTGCGTGATAGTGGTGTGCAGCTGCTGGATGCCGGGGATGTGACTTTGCTGCGGGCACCAGATGGATCGCTCCTTGGTCGTGCGGAGTTCAAGGGACGTGTTCTCTGCACGAACTTCCAGCCGTGTTCGACGCAGCAGCAGGAAGGCGAAACGGTGGCACTTTGTACCTTGGCGATGGGCGTACGGTCTAAGGGGGACCTGCGGCATGCGCGTATGGCACACGTTGGTATTGATGCCATCGAGCGCACAGCGGCTCACGGGTCAGTGAAGGGCTTGGATTTGGAGAAGGGGGGCAAGTCAGGCATACCTTGTGTCTCCTGTGTTGGGGGAAAGATCACTCGTCATACCTTTCTTTCTGTGGGAGAGGAGGAGGATGAGTTGCTCGGGGTGGTGCATGCTGACCTGTGTGGCCCTTTCCGTGAAGCAGCTAAGGACGGCAGCCGCTACTTCTTGGTGCTGAAGGATCGCAAGACGTGATCTGTCTGGGCCTACCCTTTGGCCCAGAAGAGTGATACGCTGGCGGCATTCCAGAAGTGGCTCCCGATGGCAGAGCGACAGTGCAAGACCACGGTGCAGGCGCTGCGCACTGATCGGGGTGGCGAGTTCCTGGGGCACGACTTCATGCTCTTCCTCGACGGTAAAGGCATTAACCATGACCTCACATGCCCGTACACGCCGGAGCAGAACGGGATGGCCGAGAGGGAGATGCGCAGCATTGTGGAGGCGGTGCGGACGATGTTGCTGCACATCGGTGTGCAGCATCACTGGTGGCACCTGGCGTTGGCTCAGGCCGTCTGGGTGCGCAACCGCGTGGAGCACGCCTCACTACTCTCTGGTGTGACGCCGTACGAGCTCGCCTTCCGACGCAAACCTGATGTCAGTATGGTGCGTGTTTGGGGCTGCATGCTGCAGTACATGGTACCACAGTCGCAGCGTGGGGGGAAGCTGGCGCCTAAGGCTCGCTGGGGGTTGCACTTGGGTGTGTCAGCTGCGAGCAAGGGCTGGGCCGTGCTGGACTTGGAGTCCAACCGCCTCATCACCACTGTGGAAGCTGTGTTCTATGAGACCATGTCCCTAGCAGGATGGAAGGCTTGGCATCAGCAGGAGCCTACGGGGCGTTCGATGCCCTATGAGCCCCTTCCCTCACTCTTCCCGATCACTCTCGAGGAGGCGGAGGAGGAGGAGGAGGTGGTCGCACCTCCTGCTATGCCCTATGTCCCTACCTCGGTCCCCACCCCACCTCCGCCTTCAGTCTACCCTCGTGTGATTCCCCCTGCCCCGCCTTTTTCCTCCTCACCCCCCTTGGCTTCCCCTCCTCCTCCTGTTTTTCCATCTCCCCTTCCACCCTCCATCCCTCCTTCACCTGCTCCGCCCTCTTCTTCGTCTTCCACGGCGCCGCCCGTTGGTGAGGGGGGGATGGAGGTGCCACTGTCTGTGGAGATCACCGACGGGCAGCGCCTTGAGACTGAGCAGCTGCAGGATGAGAGCAGTATGGATGGAGTACAGCAGAGTGGGGGGCAGGAGACAGGGGAGCAGCAGACAGGGGAGCAGCAGATTGGAGAGCAGCAGACAGGGGAGCAGCAGATTGGGGAGCAGCAGACAGGGGAGCCGCAGACAGGGGAGCAGGAGATGTGGGGAATTAGAGATGGTGGTCGTGTGTTGGTTTCTGGGACGACCACTGCACCACTACGTCGCTCCACTCGCATCACTCGTGGTGTCCCGCCTGTTCGATACGCTTGGGCTGTAGTGGTTGAGCCAGCGGGCTTGGATGACGAGGAGGAGGACGACGAGTGGACTAACCTGGACCCGGACGTGGCAGCTGATCCTGAGAGGCAGTGGGACATAGCGAAAATGACCGTGAAGGAGGCCTTGGGCTGCTGGAAGGGAGACAAGGTGAAGAAGGGCGATGGATGAGGAGATGCGGAGCTTGATTGAGCAGGGGACGTGGGAGTTGGTTCCGCGTCCGCCAGGGGTGAATGTGATGAAGAACCGCGGGATTTTGAACACCAAGTTCTGACCAGATGGGATAGTGGAGCGTGAGAAGGCGAGGCTGGTGGTGAAGGGGTTCACGCAGGTGGCAGGGGTGGACTATGAGGAGACGTACGCCTCTGTGGGAAGCTATGTGACGGCGCGTGTGCTTCTGGCGATTGCAGCTGCACTTGATTTGGACCTGATGCAGCTCGATGTGAAGAACGCGTTCCTCCATGGCGTGCTGGACCGAGACCTTTACATGGAGCAGCCGAGCCACTACGAGGATGGGACTCCTCGTGTCTGTAAGTTGGTGAAGAGTCTGTATGGGCTCAAGCAGAGCCCGATGCTATGGTATGAGGCCTTGGATGGAGTGCTGCTTGGGGTTGGATGGAAGAAGAGCAAGGTGGATGAGGCTCTGTAATTCAAGACTGATGCTGAGGGGGAGATGTGCTGGCTGCTGGTGTATGTGGATGACCTGCTTGCTGCCAGCCGCAGTCAGAGCATGCTAGCGGAGCTGCGTGACCTGCTGCAGAGTGCCTTTCAGCTGTGGGAGATTAGCCCTGTGGAGAAATATCTGGGGTTGCAGCTGATTCGGGACAGGCCCACGAGGAGGTTGTGGCTGCACCAGGGGGCCTATGTGGACAAGGTCCATAGGCGCTTCTTTGACGGGGAGCAGCCGCTGTGAGTGCCTCGCACCCCTCTTTCCTCTGACCCTTTCAGTGTGCAGACCTTCGAGGATGTGGGATGGCAGTCTCGCCAGGAGGAGGAGTACAGGCAGAAGGTGGGATCCTTGCAGTTCGCGGCCTGTACCACCCGTCCCGACATCTCGTTCGCCTGCATCAAACTGGGGTCCGGCCAGACTGTGCGGAGTGATCAGCACTGGAAGGAGTTGGACCGGTGCTTGACGTACTTGGTGGGGAGCAGGGATGTGGCGCTGGAGTTTGGTGGTGGGCCGGAGTCCTTGGAGCTGGTGGGCTACGCCGATGCTGATGATGCAGGGGACAAGCAGAACAGGACCAGCACAGGTGGCTATGTCTTCGTGCTTGGGGGTGCTGCTGTCTCATGGGTGAGCGAGCGGATTCGTTGCGCCACCCTTTCCTCCACTGAGTCTGAGTACGTTGCTGCTGTGGAGGCTGGGAAGGAGGCGCGCAGGCTGGGCTTCCTGCTGGCAGAGTTTCAACTGCTGAGGAGTGAGGAGCCCACGACTCTCTTTGTGGACAACTCCTCCGCCATTTCAGTGGCATGTGGCATGGGGCTCAAGGGGAGCCTCAAGTACATGGAGCGTCGTCACATGTGGCTGCAGCACATGGTCAAGCGCAGGAAGCTGCAGCTGCAGTACATCCCTACGAGCGAGCAGCCTGCTGACTACCTCACAAAGGCATTGCATTTCCCCGCCTTCAGTCGTTGCTTCGAGGCTGTGGGGCACGTGCGGCTCTCGAGCGAGGGGAGTGAGACCTAGACACTCCATGATGTGGATGGTGCCATGGCCTATCCATGGCTGGTGCGGTGCGTGTTTACACTTTGAGCGTGTTTCGTTTGTGTGTATCCCTTTGTTTTGGTGTGTATGTGTGTATGCATGCCCTGTGATTATAAAGGGCCTTGCTGTAGTATGGCAGGGGAGTGTTAGAGGGCCCTACGACAGCAAGGGCCCTCGATGACCTTTGACTTGGCAGGTCCGCGCCTAACGAATGAGTCTACTCGGCACCGACGCACGAGTTCGGTGGCGGTCATTAGTGACTACGGGTGACTGTGAGCTACTGCAGCGAACTCGGCGGAATCGGTTCTAGGAATGACGAGTCTTGGGGGTCGTAGGTGCCTTGCTTGTGAGGCACGCTGCTCACTTGCTGTGTTGGCAGGAGTAGCGTGCACGGTGAGACATTCTGGTGCCGAGTTGGGTTGGAAATGTGCGGGGCGCGTTCACCCACCTACACAGCACTTTCGTGTGGGTTGGGTTACTCGCAGCGCCACGCAACAATTGTGCAACTCTTGCTTGCCTATACATGTTTGTGTTTGCTTGTGTGTTTGATAATTGATATTGCAATTCTACTTGGCCCAAATGCTACCTCAATTCTCACAAAGTCCTTAGAGGCAAACGCTACCAAAACTCTACCAAGTTGCTGGCGCAACATCATTCCCATAGCACAGACTCTCTCGCTATCGCTACGCTCTCTAATATATTCCTTCATTGCTGCTGGGGGAAGCGCAGGCGTGGACGCGGCGAGTTGGGGCCGCAAGCTGCTGGAAGCGAGCGGCGGTGACCTGGACGTGGGTGGCGAGGAGGAGGAGGCGGGGGAGGCGACGGACGGGCTGGACGAGGCAGTGCGGGTGCTGCTGACGTGGAAGCAGATCAAGAACGCGGCGAATCATGCGGCAAAGAGCGAGGCGGGGCAGAAGGCGGGAGGGTTGGTGAAGAATGTGGTGAAGAAGGGCGGCAAGGAGGCGCTCACGGCTGCAGTCAACGCGTTCCGCAGTGGCAAGGGTGTCAGATTTATATGACATAGTTGCTGTAGGCTATAGTGGGGTAGCACATATGGGGTACAGGGTTTCTAGGGTTGTATTTGTACCCAATCTTTCCTTAGTCATTTTCATTCCTGTTTTCTTTACTTCACATGGTATAGAGCGGGTCCTACCTTAGGACCGTTTTTTTAGGGCCCACCGAAGCGCGCCCCGAGGCGCGCCTTTTTTTTTTTTTTAGCGACCCCCTCGGGTCGCCTTTTCCCTCGCGGCCCCGCTGTCCCTCAGACGCGGCCCCGCCACCTCTCCTGATCGCGGCCCCGCCGCCTGTTTGACGCGGCCTCGCCGCCTACCCTGACGCGGCTCCGCCGCCTCCCCTGACGCGGCCTCGCCGCCTACCCTGACGCGGCTCCGCCGCCTCTCCTGACGCGGCCCCGCCGCCTGTCTGACGCGGCCCCGCCGCCTCCCCTGACGCGGCCCTGCCGCCTCCTCTGACGCGGCTCCCCCGCCTCCCCTGACGCGGCACCGCCGCCTCCCCTGACGCGGCTCCCCCGCCTCCTCTGACGCGGCCCTGCCGCCTCCCCTGACGCGGCCCTGCCGCCTCTCCTGCCGGCCCGCCACTGCACCTGCCGGCCTCGCTGCTGCACCTGCCGGCCCGCCGCTGCACCCTACGGCCCGCCACTTCACCCTACGGCCTGCCGGCCCGTCGCTGCACCCTACGGCCTGCCGGCCCGCCACTGCACCCTACGGCCTGCCGGCCCGCCACCTGCCGGCCCGCCGCTGCACCTGCCGGCCTCGCTGCTGAGCCGGGGGGTGCTGTGCCTGGAGGTGCTGGGTCTGGGGGTGCTGGGTCGGGAACTGTTGAGCCTGGGGGTGCTGAGCTGGGAGCTGCTGCGCCTGGGGGTGCTGCGTCTGGAGCTGCTGAGCCTGGGGTTTCTCCTGCTGCTGCGTCTCGCCGGGAGCCCCTCTCTCCACAGGAGCTGCGCGAGTGGTTCGCTCGCCGCTGGAGGCGTGCTGCTGAGTCTGGAGGTGCTGCAGGAGCTGGGGCTGGAGCTTCTTCGACCGTCGAGGGTGCGGGTGCTGCCGGTCCCGGAGCTGCTGGACCTGCAGGTCCTCCTGGAGCTGGAGCTGCTGAGGGCGTTGGTGCTGAGCCTACTACTGTTGGTCCTGCCGCTGGAGGTGTGGGTGGCGCTGGTGCTGTCGCTGAGGGTGCTGGTGCTATCCCTGCTGAGTCTGGAGCTGCCGCGCGGCCTCGGCCGTACTTCGTTCCGCTCCTGCAGCAGGTTCTTGGTCTTTCTCCTCCAGTAGAGGGTCCACCGCCTGTCCAGTCGCAGTCCCTGCTGGAGCCTTCCTCTCCACTGCCTGCTCCCTCTCCTTACACTGGTCCTACTGGAGGTCTTGCTGAGCGTCGTGAGCCTACGTCTCGTCCCGCGTCGCCTGTTCGTGCTGCTCGCGCTAGTGGTCGCAGTTCGCGTCATCGTCCTCCTCCTGTCCCTGGCACGCACCGGATGTCTTTACGTCCGTCCACTGCTCCTCTGCGTGCCCCTTTGCCTTCTCCTCCTGAGTCCTCTCTTCCTGCGCTTGCCGACCCTGAGTCGGACTCTCTTCGTGCTGCCAGTCCTACTGTCACGCGTCTGCTTGCTACTGTCGTCACTGACCCCTCTTTTCAGTCCACTGCTGCGTCTGCTCTAGTCGCTGAGCTCGTCAACTTTGCTGCTCGCTGTCGTCTCGACTACGCTGCTAGTCTTGTTGCTGAGTCTGCGTCTGTCTGTCCTCCGTCCGTCGGGGGTGAGTGTGCTCTTGGCACGGACGTCCTAGAGGACAGGCAGGAGGAGTTACAGTGTCTAGCGGCTGCTTCACCTCATCTCGCGTCTGTACTGCTTGCCCCTGAGGGAGACCCGGATGCACTAGACATCCCGACTCCGCGTTCTTACGCGGAGGCCGTAGAGGGTCCCTACTCCTCTCAGTGGCAGGCAGCTATGGATGCAGAGATGGCTTCCTGGAAGTCCACAGGCACCTACGTTGACGCGGTTCCCCCTCCTGGGGCGAACATCGTCAGTGGCATGTGGATCTTCAGGGTGAAGCGGCCGCCGGGCTCTCCACCTGTCTTCAAGGCACGGTACGTTGCTCGTGGCTTCAGTCAGCGGCAGGGAGTTGACTACTTTCAGACCTTCTCTCCCACCCCGAAGATGACTACTCTTCGGGTGCTGCTGCACATAGCCGCTCAGCGCGACTACGAGCTTCACTCTCTCGACTTCAGCACTGCGTTCTTGCAGGGTAGCCTGCACGAGGAGATCTGGCTTCGCCGTCCACCTGGCTTCACTGGGACTTTCCCTCCTGGCACCCAGTGGAGCCTCCGACGGCCAGTCTACGGTCTCCGCCAGGCACCGCGTGAGTGGCACGACACACTGAGGACTACGCTTGCGGCTCTTGGGTTTGCTCCTTCTACTGCTGACCCGTCGCTGTTTCTTCGCACCGACACTTCCCTGCCGCCGTTCTACATCCTCGTGTACGTCGACGACTTGGTCTTTGCCACAGCGGACACTGCTGGACTCGCCTACGTGAAGTCCGAGCTGCTGAAGAGACACACGTGCACAGACCTGGGTGAACTGCGCAGCTACCTTGGCTTGCAGATCACTCGGGACAGAGCACGCCGCACCATTACCCTGACTCAGTCACACATGGTGCAGCAGGTCCTTCAGCGCTTCGGCTTCACGTACTCCTCGCCTCAGGCCACTCCTCTGCCTACTCGCCACTCACTCTCAGCTCTGCCTTCGGATGAGTCCGTAGAGTCGAGTGGTCCGTATGCAGAGCTTGTTGGCTGCCTCATGTACCTGATGACCTGCACACGACCTGACCTTGCATACCCTCTGAGCATTCTTGCACGCTATGCTGCTCCTGGGAGACACAGACCGGAGCACATGGCTGCAGCGAAGAGGGTATTGCGCTACCTGTGCAGTACGTCGGGCATGGGGCTAGTGCTTGGAGGGCGGAGTCCAGTGGTCCTTACCGGCCACGCGGACGCTTCTTGGGCTGACGACCAGGCTACGCAGCGGTCGTCACAGGGTTACACCTTCAGCCTTGGTTCCGGTTCTGTCTCGTGGCGGTCTACTCGCTCGTCTTCGGTTCTTGGCTCCAGTTGTGAGGCTGAGATCTACGCCGGGGCCATGGCTGCACAGGAGCTTCGCTGGCTCACCTACCTGCTGACTGACCTTGGAGAGCCGCCTCGTTCTCCTCCAGTGCTGTACGTAGACAACAAGGCTATGCTGGCCTTGTGTCGAGAGCAGCGCTTGGAGCACAGAACGAAGCACATTGCTCTCCGCTACTTCCTTGCTCGTGAGCTGCAGCAGCGTGGTCAGTTGCGACTTGCGTACGTGGCCTCTGAGGCCAACACTGCTGATGTGTTCACCAAGGCACTCGCGCCTTGTGACCATCAGCGCTTTTGCACCCAGCTGGGTCTTGTGCCTGTCTTGCCTCACTTGCTCTCCTCTTGACTTCACTTGTACTATGACATATATATATACCTGCTCTTCTTTGTCTAGTTTTATATATATGTCTGTACTCCTGTATGTGAACTGGCCTCTGGCCCTACTCTTGTGCTCGGACTGTGTGGTGACTTTGTGATCCACCCTGAGCTTGCTTTGCTTTGCTTGACTGGTCTTGTGACCCCTTGTTCTCCCCCACTTTGCCTATGGGGGTGTGTCAGATTTATATGACATAGTTGCTGTAGGCTATAGTGGGGTAGCACATATGGGGTACAGGGTTTCTAGGGTTGTATTTGTACCCAATCTTTCCTTAGTCATTTTCATTCCTGTTTTCTTTACTTCAGAAAGGGCGCCAAGGGTGCCCTGCAGGCGGGCGCTGGCTTGTTCGTCAAGACCGCGAAAACCATGATTTAAGGGGGAGATGGGAGATGGGAGATGGGAGATGGGAGATGGGAGATGGCACGGCAGAGTGGAGTGGGTAGTGGCAGGCAAGTCACTAACTACGCTGCTTCTGCTGCTGCTGTCGGTGCTTCTGTTGTTGGTGAGGTCACTGCTGTAGATGCTTGTGGTGCTGCTGCTGATGATGGTGTGGCTTTCAACTGGTCCGGATTGCAGAGTTGGTTGCTTAATACTGTAGTTCTGTCCTGGTGATGCTGCTAGAAGAGGTATGTGTGTGGGGGGGGGGGGTGGGTGGAGGGGTTAGGTGGGCGAGTGTGCTGTACAGGGTTAGTATTGGAACTGGGTGCTCCTTTGCTTTGGTTATTCTGTAATCGCAAATATATCTGCTGCTACCATGCTTTTGCTGAAGGAGTTGAAATATACCGTAGTATGGGGTCATGAAAAGAAACTTCATGTTCTTAATTTGAATGTGACATACACTAGGCACTCATAACACGCACTGGGCACTCACCACACACGTCAGACACTCACCACACACGTCAGACACTCACCACACACATCACAACTGGCTCACTGTCTATCCTGCTCACGCACACTGTCAGCTAAGGTGAAGAGTGGCAGAAAGACTTCAGGCTCCAGATAACGATATTGATGCTGGCTGCCTCGAGAGCAAGTGGGAGCTGCTGTGGTTCCACAGTTTCCAGTTGCACCTGGTGTCACTCACCTCAAGAGCGTCAGACACACCTGGTGTTACTGATGTTGCCATAACTTCCAGTTGCACACCTGGTGCTGTCGTTGTTGCCATTTCGGCCCACCATCATCGCATCGCGATCATATCGTCTGCATCTGTGTGGATGGATGGGATGGCCCCTCTGAATTTGCTGCTCCTCGCAGGCGCAGCATCCGTCGCCAGTAAGCACCTGCCAGTATTACTTCCATTATTATGGACTTGACACTACATTTCCCTTGGGAACCTGCTGACCTTGTTTTCTTTGATTCCCCTTCACTTGAGCACTTCCACCGCAACTTGAAGTGGTAACTGTTACACTGGAAAGTGACGCACTCTTATGGATGTTTCCCCCCTCCCTGTGTTCTTCTCGCTGTTGTGTGTGCACGTGCAGTATATGCCCAGGTAAAATCTTCACTCTTCATTCCCCAGACTCGTGATTGCATCATCTCATGCTATGCTTTCTGATTCTATGTACCACCACAATCTGCAAATGCACCCCAAGCCCGGTACGAGTCTCTTCACAAAATGATTCCATGAATTGAATCTACACCTGATTTCGCGTGTGCCTCTTTTTACAAACTTTCCATGCACCCTCCTTTGCATGCACTTCCCACATACCACTCCCATATGCCTCCTCCCATCAAATGTTGCTTGGTGCACTTCTCATGCATGTTTTTTCCCCACTTCATCCCTCTCACACAGTACCTGCTCTTGCACCCTCTCTTCCCTCCCCTCCCCCACAGACCCTGGAGTGACGATCGGGATTTTGCAAAGCAACCCAGTAAGCCACTGGAGCGGTGGAGTGGAGTCAACTTGCAAAAGAAAAACCTACCACTTTGCACCGCTTCTGCCCATGCTTTATTGCCCCTCCCCCATCCTCTTCCCCACAACCGCTGCTAGTGATGGTCGGGTGGGATTCAGCCGTTGGTGAGCCACTGGAGCGGGGGAGTCAACATATGGAAGCCTCCCTCACCGCTCTGCACCCTTGCATGCTTCCTTGCCTCTCTTCCCTTCCCCGCAGCCCCTGCCAGCGGTGATCGGGTTCCTGCAGGGAATCACAGTGAGCCACTGGAGCTGGAGAGGAACCCCCTCATTTCCTCAACTGCCCTTGCTCCTTTCCCCCACAGCCGCTGCCTGCCAGTGATGGTTGGGTTCCTGCAGGGCAGCCCGGTGAGCCACTGGGAGTGGGGGAGTCAACCTGTGACATACGCCCTCATTGCTTTACACACCTTCTCCCCATTCTTCCCCCTCCCCCACAGCCGCTGTTTTGAGACGTCGCAAAGCCACAGCCGCTGCCAGTGATGATCGGGTTCCTTAGGAAATGACTTCTCCAATTCTTCCCCCTCCCCCACAGCCGCTGCTGCTGCCATTGATCGGGTTCCTTAGGAAGTGAGCCACTGAGAGTGGGGGAGTCAACCTGTGGACGCCTCCTGCTGTGAAGCCGAGGGACATTCTCGCTGAGTGGAGTATGGTGGTCTGGCAAGGGGGTGCGTGGGGTGATCTTTTAGGCTCCTTCAAAATCGTCTCCCTGGGGAGTGGAAGCCCGCTGCTGTCAAGCCAGGGAACATTCTAGGTGAGTGAAGGATGCTTGAAGGGTAAGGGAGTGAGCGAGGTGGGGTGAGTCAAACGGTAAAGGGATCGAGTGAATCAGAATTTATTGCAGCGGGGGGGTCGACCTGTGGATGGATGGAGGCCGCCTGTTGCCAAACCATGGGTCATTCTCGGTGAGTGAGGACTGGGTGGGCTGGCTGGAGGGAGCGAGAGGGGATGAGTGAGTTCAATGGGAGGCTGGTAGGGCGCACTCAGGCTGAACCAAGCCAGTGGGGAGGAAACTCGCGCGCTGGACTGTGGGTCTTACCCAGACTATTCTTCCCCTCCCCCAGACTAAACTTCCCCTCCCCGAGACTATTCTTCCCCTCCCCCAGACTATACTTCCCCTCCCCCAGACTATACTTCCCCTCCCCCAGACTATTCTTCCCCTTCCCCAGACTATACTTCCCCTCCCCCAGACTATACTTCCCCTCCCCCAGACTATACTTCCCCTCCCCCAGACTATACTTCCCCTCCCCCAGACTATACTTCCCCTCCCCCAGACTATACTTCCCCTCCCCCAGACTATACTTCCCCTGCCCCAGACTATACTTCCCCTCCCCCAGGTTTTTGAGGCGCCTCAAAAACAGCTTTCGAAGCATCCTCACCTTCTAAGGCCTGCGCCATCCCCTCATGTCTGCCCTCCCGTTTTCACTCCATTCCCGCATGTCTGTCCTGTCTTCTGCCTCATATGGCTCACTCCCCGTACCCTCTCCCTCCAATCTTCTCCAGCTTTTGAACCGTCTCGATTCTTTTTCCATTCCTTAACTGCCTACTCCCTCTGCCCCTCTCTCCATCGTTCATCCTCCTCCAGTCTTCCAATGGTTCGCAGAGACGCACGACGTGCAGCGCTTCAAGAATACATTTGCCTTCAAGGCCTGCGCCTTCTTCAACGCCGTGCCGCTCACCTCCACCTCGCAGTTCGGCATGCGTCTCTTCCAAGTCAAGCCCGCCCATGCCGGCAAGATGCTCTTCTTTGGGAGCAGTGTGGGCAAGGACTGAGTGAGGCGTCAAGGTCGCCATTCCTGTTAGCTAGAAGCATCATTTGTGAGCCATCGGAATGCATATACAAGTGAAAAAAAAAAAAAAAAAAAATCCTTGCGCTGCATACACCCTAGTGGAGGGGCCAGAATCGTGGCGTGATACTCTTTTTTGTAAGGCAGATAAATTTTGGTTTCTAATCTCCCCGCTTTTGGTGAAGTGCCATAAGAGCTATTAGAGCGATACGAACACTTGCTTGATTAATATTCTCGCAACCCAACCTAACCCAGCTTTACCCAACCCAACCCAGCTTTACCCAACCCAACCCAACCTAGCCCAAACCGGATCGCGTGTGAAAGTGTGCACCCTCGTTACTGACGTGCCATACCGAACTCTCACCAACTGTTTGCGCATTGTGCGGCGCCATGCCATTATGTGAGCAATAACTGCGAGCTGCAGGAATGAGACATGGCGGACTACTCTCACTCGTCTAGTTTCGTCATCTGGAGTCAGTCTCGCTAGTTACAGCTCACTGAAATTCACCAAGCTGTGGGGATCTGGCTCACAGTACGAAATGGACCGTCAGCCATTATTGCCGCACCGCCGTCCAACTCCAGTGGGGAGTCCAGCGCAACACGCGGCAGTGGTACGAGCCTCACTGCTAGCGCACACACAGTAGTAGTTGCGCGGCATGTCACGCTGTGCGGATCCAGCTTTTCCCGCATGTCGCGCGGTGCTGATCCATCTGTTCCCGTGTGTTGCGTGTTGTGCGGCGGCGCTGTGCAAGCAATACCCGCGAGCGGCTGGAAGCGGTACCATTATGATGGCGACCGACGCTCTCCCTGCACCACCCTCGCCTCCATCTTTCCTTAGTACTTAAAATCCCTCCGTTCCGCCATTCACCATCACTTGACCGAGTTTCTTCTCTCGGTGCTCGAAAATCACCCAAATTGTCTGACCCTCTCCATCGATCGCCATCGTCAGTGTTTCACAAGTTGCTACTTTCGAAATCCGTCGCTCCGACGCTCTCTAAATCGCAACCGCTCCCATCATGGCTACTCTTCGCTCCGCGTTCATTCTCGCCTTGGTCCTCGCGTCGCTCCCCGCACTCTATGCCGCGTCCGCGCCACTGCGGGGCGACGTCGCTGCTGGGGGAAGCGCGGCCGTGGACGCGGCGGCGAGGTGGGGCCGCAAGCTGCTGGAAGCGAGCAGCGGCTCCGTCGCAAGCGGTGCAGACGCTGAACTGGACCAGCAGGGTGGCGAGGAGGAGGAGGAGGTGGGGGAGGTGACGGACGGGCTGGATGAGGCGGTGCGAGTGCTGCTGACGTGGGGAGAGATGAAGAACGCGGCGGCGGCCGGCACGAGCACAAACGCGGGGAGCGCGGGGGGGAAGATAGGAGACATTGTGTCCAAGGCGGTGGCAGCAAAAGCGCAGGTGAAGGCCTGACGTGGAAGGAGGTGAAGGGCACGGCGGGCAAGTTGGGTGGCATTTTGACCAAGGCTGTGGCGGCTAACGCGCAGAGCAGCGGCGGGGTGGTGAAGGCCTGACGTGGAAGGACGTGAAGAGCACGGGGTACGCGCATGGGGAGGGGCATTGGGGGGCAGATGGGAGGGTAAAGGGCCCGTGAAGGCGGGCGGTGGCTCGTTCCTGCAACCGCGAAAAGGTGGTGGTTAGGGGGAGGGGGCAGGTGCGCGGGGCAAGGCGGCGTGGTAGCGTGGGCGGCAGCCACCCAGCTGGTATGGTGCCACTGCTGCTGGTAGCTGCACGGTGCAGTGGAGTGGAGTTCTCTCAGCTGAGCTCAGAAGGGACTCTATGCGTTGCTGGTTCTGCTGGTCCTCTTGTTGCTGCTGGCACAGATTCCACTGCTGCTGCTGTTGCTGCTGCCATGGCTGGCTTGGTCTGCTGCTTCTGTTGCCTTCGTCACTGCTTTTTGTTGGAGCCATTAATTCTGCTGCTGCTGCTGCCACCGCTGCTGCTGCTGTGGCTGATGGCTTGCAACTTGCGCTGTTTGCAAGTTGGTTGCGTAATAGTTGTGTCTTGGTGATGCTGCTGGGGGGGATGTACTAATGTCTGTGTGGTGAGGTGGTAGGGTTAGGTATGGTGGATGGGCATGTGTGCAGAGGGATAGGCAGTGGAATTCGGTGTAGTGTTGTGGTTTTGGTTCCTTTGTAATTTCTTTTCTTTTGTAATACGGTATTTGTCACAGGAATATGTCTGCTGAAGGCGCTCATCAAGTCGTGGAAAACACCACATCGTGCCGCACAGCCGGCAGCGATGATGGACTTGGCGGGAGGCGGGCTGTTGGACTGGGGCGAAGGACGTCACGTCACGCCAGACCCTTGAAAAGTTTATTGGAGAAGTATCCAGAAAACCTGCTGTTTATGTAACCACAAGGTACGGTAAATGAGATGACTTGAAAGGGTGATTGATACGGTAGGTGACGAATTACAGCAAAGGACATGCAACAGGGCTCGCAATCAGGGCCCAAAATATCAGGGTAAAACACCCTGATTACCCTGGGGGCCGGCCGCTTTTTCAGGATTACCCTGCTGAAATCAGGATTGCGAAATAGTTACCCTTCTCTTAAAAGAGCATGTTTTATTTTACCCTGCTAGGTTTTTAGCTTACCCTGGCGGAATCAGGGTTTGGTGTACACTACCCTGTTACCGAATCTTTTCTAACGCGAATCAGACCATAGTCCACGTGGTGGCGACAAAACGTACAACACCTCCACAAACACCCGTTGTCGCTCGTGCCCACGCGCATGGAAACTTGCATCGTAGTTGGCAGCACGCCAAGAATCCTCATTGGTTGTTTCTGCCCCAGGACTGCCAACAATTATTGCTCCTCGTCACTTATCGCCACGCCCACCGCCATCACAGCAGAATTGGCTGTCAAGGACAGCTTCAAGCTGTCCTTAACAACAACTTGCAGCCTCAGTGCTGCCTTGCTGGCCATAACAGGGCCCGCCCCGTGGAAGAAACGGCCAGTTGCGTGTGTTGACTTCATGGACTCTGAATGTGCTACTTGTGTATATCATTAAAAATAAGTTAACTCACAAAATAGATACAAAAACAGGCTTAGCCTAAAACTACCCTGCTCAAATCAGGCTAGTGGTACATTTACCCTGCTGAAAACAGGGTATGAAATGTTTTACCCTAGGGGTCTGGTTAAGGAGGGGCTGTTACCCTGATTCGTAAGGGTAGGCCTAAACCAATTTTGGGCCCTGCTCGCAATGGAGCCAGCTAGAATCATACATGATACTGATTACACTTGAAATCGATGCAAATAATTCAGGGAGCATCTTTATTGATCAAGAGGATGTCATAATCATGAGGCAGGGACGAATGAATTACCGTCATCGCCCGGATAGTAGACATATATGTCTTATCTCGTACACTACTCAAAATGCTTGAGTTACCGAATTCTCCCGGATACAACACCCCCCCGTAATTGCACACCCCCGGGTAGCTAATACGGGGTGGGTGTTATATCCGACCCAGGGCTGACGTTTCATATTAGGCCTCCCTGATTCCGGGGAAAAAATTTCCCCTCTATTATGAGTGCACATTTTTCAGAATAATGCTACTCTGATTGCTCAGGGTTGAAAAGTATATAACTCTGATTGTTCAGGGTCGAAAATCGAGGATCAGAGTAGTAACGCGCCCTTTGTTACAAGGGAAAAAGTTTCCCTCTGCGTAAAGTTTGCGCTCTGTGTTTCGCGTGTGAAAATAGGAAAACAGGAATGAATGAACTATGAATGAAAGCAGTACAAATATGAAACCCGAACTGGGTTGTACCCCCTATGGGATACCCCACTACAGCCTACACATCAGTATAAGCTATAGATATGTTCTGACACACCCCCATAGGCAAAGTGGGGGAGAACAAGGGGTCACAAGACCAGTCAAGCAAGACAAAGCAAAGCTCAGGGTGGATCACAAAGTCACCACACAGTCCGAGCACAAGAGCAAGGCCAAAGGCCAGTTCACAAGCAAGAGTACAGACATATATATAAAGCTAGACAAGCAAGAGCAGGTATATATATATGTCACAGTACAAGTGAAGTCAAGAGGAGAGCAAGTGAGGCAAGACAGGCACAAGACCCAGCTGGGTGCAGAAGCGCTGATGGTCACAAGGCGCAAGTGCCTTGGTGAACACATCAGCAGTGTTGGCCTCAGAGGCCACGTACGCAAGTCGCAACTGACCACGCTGCTGCAGCTCACGAGCAAGGAAGTAGCGGAGAGCAATGTGCTTCGTTCTGTGCTCCAAGCGCTGCTCTCGACACAAGGCCAGCATAGCCTTGTTGTCTACGTATAGCACTGGAGGAGAACGAGGCGGCTCTCCAAGGTCAGTCAGCAGGTAGGTGAGCCAGCGAAGCTCCTGTGCAGCCATGGCCCCGGCGTAGATCTCAGCCTCACAACTGGAGCCGAGAACCGAAGACGAGCGAGTAGACCGCCACGAGACAGAGCCGGAACCAAGGCTGAAGGTGTAACCCTGTGACGACCGCTGCGTAGCCTGGTCGTCAGCCCAAGACGCGTCCGCGTGGCCGGTAAGGACCACTGGACTCCGCCCTCCAAGCACTAGCCCCATGCCTGACGTACTGCACAGGTAGCGCAATACCCTCTTCGCTGCAGCCATGTGCTCCGGTCTGTGTCTCCCAGGAGCAACATAGCGTGCAAGAATGCTCAGAGGGTATGCAAGGTCAGGTCGTGTGCAGGTCATCAGGTACATGAGGCAGCCAACAAGCTTCGCATACGGACCACTCGACTCTACGGACTCATCTGAAGGCAGAGCTGAGAGTGAGTGGCGAGTAGGCAGAGGAGTGGCCTGAGGCGAGGAGTACGTGAAGCCGAAGCGCTGAAGGACCTGCTGCACCATGTGTGACTGAGTCAAGGTAATGGTGCGGCGTGCTCTGTCCCGAGTGATCTGCAAGCCAAGGTAGCTGCGCAGTTCACCCAGGTCTGTGCACGTGTGTCTCTTCAACAGCTCGGACTTCACGTAGGCGAGTCCAGCAGTGTCCGCTGTGGCAAAGACCAGGTCGTCGACGTACACGAGGATGTAGAACGGCGGCAGGGAAGTGTCGGTGCGAAGAAACAGCGACGGGTCAGCAGTAGAAGGAGCAAACCCAAGAGCCGCAAGCGTAGTCCTCAGTGTGTCGTGCCACTCACGCGGTGCCTGGCGGAGACCGTAGACTGGCCGTCGGAGGCTCCACTGGGTGCCAGGAGGGAAAGTCCCAGTGAAGCCAGGTGGACGGCGAAGCCAGATCTCCTCGTGCAGGCTACCCTGCAAGAACGCAGTGCTGAAGTCGAGAGAGTGAAGCTCGTAGTCGCGCTGAGCGGCTATGTGCAGCAGCACCCGAAGAGTAGTCATCTTCGGGGTGGGGGAGAAGGTCTGAAAGTAGTCAACTCCCTGCCGCTGACTGAAGCCACGAGCAACGTACCGTGCCTTGAAGACAGGTGGAGAGCCCGGCGGCCGCTTCACCCTGAAGATCCACATGCCACTGACGATGTTCGCCCCAGGAGGGGGAACCGCGTCAACGTAGGTGCCTGTGGACTTCCAGGAAGCCATCTCTGCATCCATAGCTGCCTGCCACTGAGAGGAGTAGGGACCCTCTACGGCCTCCGCGTAAGAACGCGGAGTCGGGATGTCTAGTGCATCCGGGTCTCCCTCAGGGGCAAGCAGTACAGACGCGAGATGAGGTGAAGCAGCCGCTAGACACTGTAACTCCTCCTGCCTGTCCTCTAGGACGTCCGTGCCAAGAGCACACTCACCCCCGACGGACGGAGGACAGACAGACGCAGACTCAGCAACAAGGCTAGCAGCGTAGTCGAGACGGCAGCGAGCAGCAAAGTCGACGAGCTCAGCGACTAAAGCAGACGCAGCAGTGGACTCAAAAGAGGGGTCAGTGACGACAGTAGCAAGCAGACGCGTGACAGTGGGACTGGCAGCACGAAGAGAGTCCGACTCAGGGTCCGCAAGCGCAGGAAGAGAGGACTCAGGAGGAGAAGGCAAAGGGGCACGCAGAGGAGCAGTGGACGGACGTAAAGACATCCGGTGCGTGCCAGGGACAGGAGGAGGACGCTGACGCGAACTGCGACCACTAGCGCGAGCAGCACGAACAGGCGACGCGGGACGAGACGCAGACTCACGACGCTCAGCAAGACCTCCAGTAGGACCAGTGTAAGGAGAGGGAGCAGGCATTGGAGAGGAAGGCTCCAGTAGGGGCTGCGACTGGACAGGCGGTGGACCCTCTACTGGAGGAGAAAGACCAAGAACCTGCTGAAGGAGCGGAACGAAGTACGGCCGAGGCCGCGCGGCAGCTCCAGACTCAGCAGGGACAGCACCAGCGCCACCCACACCTCCAGCAGCAGGACCAACAGCAGCAGGCTCAGCACGAACGCCCTCAGCAGCTCCAGCTCCAGGAGGACCTGCAGGGCCAGCAGCTCCGGGACCGGCTGCACCCGCACCCTCGACGGTCGAAGAAGCTCCAGCTCCAGCTCCAGCAGCACCTCCAGACTCAGCAGCACGCCTCCAGCGGCGAGCGAACCACTCGCGCAGCTCCTGTGGAGAGAGGGGCTCCCGGCGAGACGCAGCAGCAGGAGAAACCCCAGGCTCAGCAGCTCCAGACGCAGCACCCCCAGGCTCAGCAGCTCCCAGCTCAGCACCCCCAGGCTCAGCAGCTCCCGACCCAGCACCCCCAGACCCAGAACCTCCAGGCACAGCACCCCCCGGCTCAGCACCCCCAGGCTCCGCACCCTCCGCAGTAGCACCCTCAGGCCCAGCACCCCCAGCAGTAGCACCCCCAGGCTCAGCACCCCCGGAGTCAGCACCCCCAGGCTCAGCACCCGCAGCAGCACCAGAGTCACCAGTAACCTCGACCGGGTCAACGGCGTCTACCTGGGACACACCTGAGGGGGCAGGAACCTGAGGGGGGAGGGGGTCTACCGGGGGGGGAACCGGCACAAGGAAGTCCGGGGGAGGGGGGAGGGAAGGAGTGCGGTAGGGGAAGAGACGGTAGAAGGGGACTGACTCGTCGAACGTGACGTCCTGGGAGGACAGAACACGACGAGAGGAGGGGTGGTAAAACTGCCACCCTGGGGCGTCAGTGGGGAAGCCAAGGAAGACACAGGGAGCAGCACGAGGGGACAGCTTGTCCGCAGACAAGTCGCGGACAAACGCCCGAGATCCCCAGACACGGAACACAGACGCATCGCCAACCTTCCCCGTCCACAGCAAGGCTGGGGACATCGCTGGCTGAGAGACCCGGGGGTAAAGGTTGAGCTGATGCGCCGCGTACCTCACCGCAAACGGCCACAGAAAATGGGGGGCAGCCGCATGCA